TAAGGAAGGAGTTTAATATAAGCTGCCATACTAGGGATCTATGGTAAATACTATGGTTTCCTTTACTCAAAGTAAATCCCGTAAAAAGAACCCAGACTTAGGGTTCAGGGTCTAGGGGTCTGGGTTTAGGGGGGTTAAGTTTTTGGGAGTTAGGGTTTCGGGGGAACTTAAGGCTCAGGCGCGTGTGCCTGAAGCATTGCAATAGGGCCCTGTGTACGAACCAGCTGGATTTGTGCAGGCCGTTTATGTGGCTGCTAACTGTTTTGAGCTTCTCCTTCATGAGCTCCTGAGCCCGACATACTATACCGCCCAGGAACACCCTAAAACCACTACGCCCTATCAACCCTACACTGGCGCTTCACCTCTCCGAGTTCGAGAGTCCCCAGCATTACCAGGCCCCCAAACAACCAAAAACCTTCAATATGGGTCTGGAGGCGTATTATGGTATGGTCATATGGGCATTTTAGGGGATATGGCTAGAAAAATTTCAAGCCTCCATAGCAGCAGCTTGTTAAGGACTGCAAGGGTCCAGAATTCAGAGTTTGGGCTGAGAACTAGAAATTATCTTGTTCTCTTAGTCTTCCTCCAGCCTGACCGAGGTTTCACAGCTGGGGAATTCTGAGCATCACTGGGCTTTTTGCCTAAACTTTAATCCCTATAGTCCAAACAAGCGAAACGTGCGAAGTGGGGCCACAAACCGAGGGACTCAGTTTTCGGGGCTTGCTCATGACAGCCACAAGTTGCATAAGCACACAAATCGGAACCTCCCGCAGAGATCGATGTCGTAAAGGGCTCCACGATTTTGTGTTTCCACGTGGCTCCGCGAGCCGTCGGCCGAAATAAATCCACCCTGCAGAGCAGAGCATTATCAATCCATGCGATGCACTCTGCTCCCGATGGTAGTCGGTGTGCTCAGTGCGTGCGCGCCAGCGTGCACCGGGTCTTCAAGAAAATCAGTGCCCGCGTGTGCGTTCCAGTCACCGGCCAGGACCTGAACACAGAGACAGCCTTGTGCAAACGGCGCATGCAGTTGATCAACGGCCTGATATGCTGTGCCACGCTCACCAACCAAGCACGACGGTATGGGATAAACTAATTGCACAGAGATTGTCACCATGATCCCACCTTTGTAGGCCTGCATCTGACCATCATTAGACTGGGGCTGTAGGTCACACTGCGGCAGTATCCCGTCAATGAGTCTGATCTATCCGCGGAGACACTTCAACTATCTTGCTCCGTCATCCTACAGGACACTATACTCCGAAGACAGAACATCTCTGACCCCTGAGTCCTACATGAAACTAAATCCTCAACATCATGGTCAAGAACAGCCCAGCTTCTATTGGGCATTACCAGCATGTACAGGGAACCCTAAACCTCACGTCCTACATACAACCTCAAAACCGAAACCAGGACAGTGCATGTTTATAGAAACCCTCATGGAACCCTGTTTTACATAGAACCCGAAAGTCCAAAAACTCACCCTAAAACTCCCAAGCCAGTGACGAGGACATGGGTGCCGACTCGGGCATCGGTGGTGGGAAGTCCGCTTCAGGTGGCCTCAGCACAGCGTTTGTAGGAACGATTAGAGGCGGATTTAAGATGGTTTGAGGTTTAGGTTTAGGCCCTATATAAGCTTTAATCCCATTAGATCCAACATACCTACTCAGTATGAAGTAGGGTTTCATCATACGATCCCCATAAGATCGAAATTTATGTTCGTCTTGCAAACAAGGCCGCGATCTTTTGTTCAGAGTAGGAACGCCAGACGGTTGAAAACGCCTGGGGCCTGGGACAATTCATTCACAAAGCCCTTGGCAGGACCACTACCAAATCCTTGAGAGCTCTTTGCCTGCGGATTGTGAGTGTACCCTAATTCCCAAACTTATAGATCCTCATTCCTTACAAATGCCCCAACAAGTCCTGAACCAACGGATTGTGGGAGTCCTACCTTCGGGTTGCTGCAATTCTGTGGGTGTCGAAGGGGGCTTCGGAAACCCTCGTCGAAACTCGGAGTTTGCCTGAATTTGGACTTACATATGTTACTACAAGGAGCTTCAGGACACTGAGGTTCGGGGCTTTCTGGGTTTAGAGCTTGAAGTAATATCCCGACAAGACTCCCCCTCTCAAAAAGCACCATGTACTTCTCCAACGTACCCATGTTCCAAGGGCATACGCTCAGGAACCCGTGCACATAACATCACCACCACCTGATGTGAGTACTCTACAGAGACTTGGGGCAAGGAAGAGGCAGTGATGAAAGCTCCGTCGTGCATTCATGTTCTGATCTCAAGCCCCAAGTTGTCAAGTCTATTCTAGACACAGCCAGTTCGGGATTTAGGGTCCTTAACTCTAAACTGTTGAACCCTAAACCGATTTCAGCGGCATTTCAACTTCAACCGGCTGGATGCAAGCTCGTTGTCAACTATAGAATCCCACAAGAAGGCCTGCCTGAACGGGTCCGCCCCCACGAGGAAACTGGGTTTTGGTATCAGTCTGGGGTTGGGGAACTTATACCAGGAAACCCCATATCTGCCATCTACGGGGATGTCAGGATGGTCTGCAGGGCTGATACACAGGAGGCGCGCAGTGTCAGACGTATTGTGGTCAGAAGCAATGTACCCAAAACCCTCATTCTTTAACCCTAAACTAGCCTTAACCCTAACCCTTGTACACCCCAAAACATAAACCCTACACCTTAAACATTAAACCCTAAACCATAAAACCCTAAATCCTATCCCTAAATCCTAACCCCTAAACCTTAAACCCTAAACATGAAACCCTGAATCCGAACCTTAAACCCTAAACCCTGAAACCTCGCACGGAAAACCTCGAACCCGAATTCCTAACCTTAAACCCTCAACCTTAAACCCTAAGCCTTGAACTCCAAGCCCTGACCCAATTGCTCAAATCCAAACGAGGCCGCTTGCCGGGAGCCCCGCGCTTCCTCAACGAGCTCTGCCGGAGCTAACGGCGGAGCCACAAGGGGTGCTGCCTGCGAGAAGGGTGTCGGGTTGTGAGTTTAGGGTTCAGAGATGTTTAGGGTTTCGGGTTTAGGAGTTTAGCGTTTAGGTTTAGAGCTTATGGTTTAGGCCGCAAGGCTTTTGAGTGTGGGGGTTTGGGGTTTTCGGACAGGGTTACAAGGGTTAAAGGATCAAGGAACCGACGCCGCCGATGTTTACAAGCAAAGTATGTGTACTTAGGGGTGTGCAGTGCTGGCGTTTCGGGTTTAAGGTTTGGGACAATGTAGGATTCAGGAATCACTGTGTAGGGGCCTTAATAATTGGAATAGGGTTTTAGGGTCCATTATACTATAACTATAATGGAGAACCCCCCCAAAATAGTAGTGCTAACGATTTAGGCCCCTATTTTACAGTTTTACAGTATCCTATTATAGATGCCTTATAGTAACCCTTATGAACCCCTTTAAAGGAATTTAGACCCCCACACTACACCCCCATTATACCCCTTATAGCAATCCTTATAGACCCCTTTAAACGGAACCCTTAGTATAGCTACTTCTTTAGGCGCCTTTTGCTTCGGATGTGGATGCTTCTGGCCTCTGCAGCCGGAGTCTCCAACCGCCCCGAGCTGGAAACTTCTTTGAAGAGCGAAAGGTAGGGAGACCGAAGCCCTAAATCCCGAACACCTCCTATAGGGGCCTGAATAATTACCAATACTATATTATAAGTGTGGTATATTGGGCTCCCAAAACCCTATTCTAATTAGTCTGAACTCACATCCTAAACCGTAGAGCCGTAGATACTGTATTTCCCAGCTTCTGCTTCTTCCCATACAAACTCTCCACCCTGCAGAGCACCGGCGACCTTCCCGGATTTTTTGTGCTTAGGGTTTAGGGCCTTCCTGGAATGTGGAGGAGGGGGGTGAGGGGGGTTCCTGTCATGGCTCGAAATTTCTAAAGCACCAAATTCCTTAGAAAAGTATCTGAAACGTGGCAAGATCTGTTGGCAAACGAATTCGTACTAAGCAACATGTCGCCAGAGAAGCGCATGTTATGCAACGCTGCCAACGCTCTCCTACATCAAACAACAAAGGCCAAACAGCACCCAACCCCATGTGCAACTGGCGAGCTCTTTGTGCGCGGTGTTCCAAGCCACCGAAGTGAACATCCCCTGCACCCTGAACTGGAATTGTGGCTACAGGCTACACTATAAGGACCCATTTCCTCAGCCCCTCATGCCCCAGACACCTTCAACTTTCGGGCTGTATGTGGCTATAGATCCTGAAGAATCATCAAGAACCATGAGAGAGCCCTATGCAAACTTCATAACACCGCTATCGGTACCAGGGAAGCCCATGCAGGGACATTGTCAAAGCCAAGCAGGGTCTTCGCGGTTTGAAGCCATCCTGCAGAGCCTTTAAAGGAACCCTATTCTAAGTATTAAGGCCCCTACAGTTGAAGCCCAGCACTATTTGTCCTCAATCTGGTTTCCAACTTTTTGGGGTTTACTATATACTATAGAACCCTACTATAGATCCCTTATGGAGCCATCCTGCCTCGTCTTCATCTGCCTCCTCTGCAACGACCTGTACATCTCCTGCCGAAGACCTGAATATGGTTGGTTGTCAAAATTATGGTCCCTAATTGGGTACCCTAAATATTAGGTGCCGTACTATATTAGGGACCCAAAAAGGGACCATAATTTTGATAACCACCCATGTGGACGGCGGATGTTGGAGATCGGGGTACTATGGCGCTTCCAAAGGGCTTGCAGGGATCTTGGAGGGTGGGCTTCTGACCTTATATCATGGTCTATAAAGTGTTCATTCGCGAACCCCCGAACCAGGCCCCACAAAATCCTCAAGCACTGCCAAGCACTGCTTATTCTTGCGGTCTTGATTGGAGTGCCCGGTTTTTCCGAGCCTTGATGGAAGCGTAGACCATGCGGAGTCTTTACATTAATGACGTCTTCATCGCCCACACCCTAAACGATTGGTCCTTGGTTCATCGCGTCGGTCGTTGGCCCATACCGCCCTTACTACTCGGACTTGATGGGGATAATGTGGTTGCTACCCCGGGCATCCGTGACGCGATTCTCAACCTGCAGAATGTTCTCGTTCACAGGCTGGAAGGCTTGGTGCATTTGTGGCTCGAACGACTGGCAGGTGCAGATCTGGAAGTCTGATACAATGGCCCACGTGAGGTACCACAACTTTGCCTAAGCCCCCCTCCATTCAAAACACCCAAATGGCCATCAAAAGACAATAAACGCTGCACTACTCTGAGCTAACTTGAAGACTGCAGCTTACCGAAAGTTGAGGCTTTGGGTAAGTGATGGAAAATTGTTTCGTTATGTCTCCTCAGCGACCCTGAGACATGCTTGGGGTTGACGGTCAAGCGAAAGCTATAGGTTGGGTAGCACCAGGGACCCGGAAGAGCCGGATGGGTGGGCTCAGGACCCCAGGTTGGGAGCTATTCTGGGGCTAGAGGATGATTTAATGTGGAGTTTTGGGCACTTTAACTCAGTGCCCCTTGCTTATCGGATTTTTTTTGGGACTATATCCTGATTAAAGGGGTGTTGGGCTCTCTGGATTCTTGCCGGGTTTGCTTTTAACCTATAGACGACCCAAACTCGAAACCTGAATCCTAAACCTGAAACCCTCCAAGCCCTACAGCGCTGAACTTTCAAGTTGTGAGTGTTTGTGCTTCTTGTAGTCAGGGCAAACCTTGCTGAAGAGAGTTTAGCCGGATCAGCCCCAAAGCGCCCCTCCCCGAACCCTAAACCCACGGAAAGCCTTAAAAGTCCGCAGTTAATCTATCCTAATAAAGCAACACATCTTAAGCTGAGTAGTAGCATGTCAAGTCCCTGGTTGGATCCAAAAACTCTCGATGCCCATGCTTGCTTGGGGCCCGACGTTGGGGAGGGGACATCTGTCGGCACCTCCGGTGACAGCAATATCGTTCCCCTGCCTACCTTTCGAGCGACTGACGGGGTTGGGAAGGGTCTTCTACGAGTCTACATTTAAGCTAATCGGTTTAGGGTTTAGGGTTTTTGGGGTTTAGGGTTTAGAGTTTCCCTAAACCCTAAACCGTGCTTGAAGTTTAGGCCATGTGGTAAGATCCTCAGGCTTGGGGGACACTCATTGATGTAAGATACTATCCATGACCCCCAGCCTCCAGAGCGAGAACAGGCTGCAAGAGTTTGCAAGGTTTCGGGGATCTAGGGATTCGGGGGTTGGGGCTGAAGGTTCAGAATGGTTGTCTTGCGGTTGAAATGGCCAAGTGCTGCAACAACTCTCCCAGTATTCCTAAACCCTACACCCTAAACCCATTACATGCCGTAAAGATCTGCGCCCGAGACTCAAGTCTCCCAAACCCCTCAACACCTGTTGAAACCCATTCTTGTCCAATAACAGGGACGCAGAAAGTTCCAACTTTCCAAGATAGACCATTTCAATAAAGGCCCAAAAGTTTGAAGTAAAGATCTCCCATTGGCATTGCCTAACGACGTATCGAAGGAGAGTTTGCTGGGAGTCCCCGGCCGGCATGTCGGTTGGCGATCGCGGCCCGGGGCCGGAGTCGGACCTAGTACGGTTTGGGGTTTAAGGGGCTTACCCATAGGCCCCAAAGTAGTTCCTTTTTGGGATTACCTTATAGGATTCTTTATATGAGCCCCAGAAAGGAACTACTTGGGGGCCTTAGGGCAGGTTTTAGCGATAATAAGGGCCCCATATGGGGCCACCAAAAAGGGCTCCTTTAAGGATTAGCATAAGTAAGCCATGGTTACGATAAGACTGTAAAGGTGTTAGAACAGGGCTCCTTTATGGATGCGTATACGGGATACTTTAAGCCCTTCAGGGTTGCTACAAAGGGCTCCTCCAATATTTAGTATAGTAATTCATTCAAAGGTTACTACGAAGGGCTCCTGCAGGAATTGAGTATAAACTTTTCAAAAGGCTACTATCAAGTGATGCCCGTAGGGCTTGCTATCGGGGTTACTGTGAGGTGTCGGATCTAGGCTTTAGGTACTCAAGGGTGTAAGGTTTCGATAAACACGAATTCTGCAAAGGTTGGGAACTTTGGGAACTAAGTTCTGCAATCGAAAGCCCTGAATATTTGCAACACCCTCAACTGCCACACGTCTCGCCGCAAGCAACGCCCTCAGCAGAAGCACAAAGCGGGACGTCTGTCTATCCCAACTCGAACCCGCAAAGCAAAACATCTAAGTTAGACACATGGTTCTCCCTAATATAAGGGCCTTAATAATTAGAATAGGGTTTGGGGGAGAATTATAGTATAATTAGCAGACGGAACCCCCCAAAATAGTGTGGACAATGATATATTCAAGCCCCATATAGTAAAACCCCGCACCCGCTTGAAAATGACGCAAAGCTATGAAGCCTGGTCACCACGAGGCATTTCCACATGCCAGTGCTTCTCTTTGTGTCGGTAAAACCGTTGCCATTACCCACCATGATTGCCACAATTACCAATATTGCCACCGTCCCCTAAACCGCAAAGCCTAGTACCATCCTCCTCACTAGACAGCTCGCCGCTCACGGTTCAGGTTCCGTTGTGGGCGTCTCGAGTTCTTTGAGTTCAGTTTAGGTGCTGTTTGGGGTGTAGGATCGTGAGGGCAAAGGGCTCTGACAAAGACTGAAGAAAAAAAGCAAACCTTCAGACTCGAGGCAGGGGCATTACGGCGCTTCCGGCCACAGCCGACTCATCCGGCGCTGGGACCTCGAGAAGTCTAAATCTCATGCAGGAGAAGCGGGTCTCATTTCTATCTAGGGTCTCGATATGTCCATGCAGTCCACTATATGGGTAGTTCTCTAAGCTAGAGTCCCTTCAACTCGGGTCTGAGACAGGACGGCACCCTTACAAAAAGGACCCCAAAAGGGACCCTAATTTAGAGAACGACTCTACATGTAAGGGCTCCTGGAGTTGCGCGTACTCCCAGATTTTGACGATGGATCCTACGTGCACAATGCGGGGATAGTTGCATAAACCAAACCATAATGGCAAAACACCTGTAACTCCTACTTTAAATACAAACCATACTTTCTACAATGTATGTTATGATTCTAAGGGTCCCAATGGCAAAACAATTCCTACCACAAACCCGGCTTTCTACCATATGTGTTACCAAGGTCCCTTCCTGCGCAAATGATGGGAGGGGGGGTTTAAGATTCTTGGGGTAGGGGTTCCTTAATATGAACCCTATTATGGGAACTCCCTACTAAACCCCCATAGGCTAAAGCCCCTTTTGGCCTCCTATGAGCAAAGGACACCGAGCGCTGAGATCCACACATCGAGATCCATCTGCGCTGATATGGCGGCAGACTCCAAGGCTGCCTCCCGTTTCCTAGACCTAAGAGTAGCCTAGGAATAAAAAGGGCGCCCTTTTTGGGGTAAAGGGGGTTATAAGGGAACCTAAACCATAAGAAAGGGAATAAGGGCCTACTCTGGGTCCTGGTTTCTTTGTGTTTAAGATAGGGGCCTTGATAATTAGAGCAGGGCTCTCTTCAAAGGGCTCTATAGAAGGGTTACTCTAAGGGATCTACGAGGATACTAGACTATAGTATCATAGGGGCCTTAATAATTAGTGCAATTAGAATAGGGTATTGGGGCCCATGATGCTATAATTATTGGCTCTGGTATGACCGATCTCTGAACCCAGGTTCTGCCGGTCAGCTCCCTTTTTTGCCACTGGACTCAAGTCTAGCCAGTCTACAGCTCCCTGAACCCTAAACCGTGCAAGAACTACACTCCAAATTCAGTTTGAGGTAGGATTTATGGTGTATACGGTTTAGATGGGTTTAGCTTAGGGTTCTGGGTTTGGGGTAGCATTGCATTTTCTTCGGCATTGCTTTGAAGGTGTAGCATTGCCAGAACCCAGTGCAGAGACTTGTGCTCTATACTGCAAACCTAATCAAATAAAAAGCACTGTCACAAACCACGAACCAAAGCTGTAAACCCGGAACTTGCTCAGGGCTCTTTGGGTGCTTGGTCGAGAGCTTGAAACCTCCGACGGCGTTGCCTCGAAGGTCGGCGCCACCAGCGTCCTCGTCGGCCTCGGAATCTGTTTGCAAAGTTGGCGGCTGCACGAGGGCTTCTATTCAGGGCTGTACAAAGGGTTTGGCATCGTCGTTTTGCAAAAGTAAGCATGCTAGGCTTTAAGGCCTATCTCGGATTGGGGTTGTTGGCGTTTAGAACTCGTGGCAAGATTGGTTTAGGGTCTCTGGACTCAGGGTTTAGGCTCTACAGCCTTGAGTGTCTAGGATTTGACATTCGGATGTACCCAAACACCGCAAACTGAAAAAGCCCACGCCAACACAGGTTGCTTCCGTTCCCGAAAGGTCCGGTAAGGACTGCGTCCGTGTTGGAGATCTCGAGAGCTCTAGGACTCTAGGAACGGCTTTTTCTGATCAAAGCTCCTGCAAGAATTGGGTGCGGCCTTGCTAAACCTAGGAAGGTGAAGTTAAGGGTCGTGGGATTCAAGGGTAGGCCTGAACTTTGGTGTTCAAGACAATTTCAGTCTTATGGTATTCACGATGTTGGGTTCTGGCTAAGGGCTTCGCATTTTTTGGGGGGTGGCTAGGACTACGGCGGTATCCTTTTTCGACTCCTTCGTCCTCTTTCGGGAGCCGTTTTGTTGCAAAGCCACATCGAAGGGCTTTATGGGAGTATGATTGGGCTTCAGAAACGGGATTACAAGGGTTGTATGAAAGGAGCGAGTAGAGTCTCTGGGATCATCAACCCCCATCTCATCATGCGTGTCTCGGACACCGAACGTTCTTATATATTTCGTGTTCGGCACCCACCTACTACGTACCTACCACGTGCACAAATACACTCCTGGACCCGTAAACCGTCTTCATACAGCATCCAGTCAAACGTCGACTTCTGCGGTGCAGTCTCTGTGCACGACAGTCCCCGTCGCCACCAGTGTGTTCTGTTCTCATACTCATCCCGGTGCCGCCCAAACGGTAGGATGGTGGTGAGAGGTGTTGTCTGCATGCGGCCGGGCTTCGGATTCGGTTTCGGTGTTGGCTCGACGCCAGAAACACTTTGCTGATCAATGAAAACCTCTGAATACTAATCACGCTTTCTTTAAAGCCCTTAATTCTGGGCCAGGCACCATGTTACAGTTCGTATGAAAGGGAAGGGGGTGGGGGATATCAGTCAGAGATCTACAGTAAAGCGCTAAAAGCCCTAGTGCAACTTTAAACCCCCACGAAATCCCGTAGAACCCTAATTGTCCGCTAGAGGCGGTCTACATTAAATCTCGGAGGCGGAGCTCTCAGTCGGGTTTCGGTGCTTTTGCTGGGCTTGCAAGTTGGGTTTAGGCCTTCACGGTGTTGGGTCAAGGGGGCTGGGGCTTCGGGTTTAGGAATATGGGGGGTTATGGGCTTCAGTTCAGGTTTGAGATTGAAACCTGAACCCCATCCCACACCTAAAACGAACAACAACCCAAGCTCTACAAAACTTGCCCCTGCTGAAGTTAAAGCCCGAAATCCCGAAATCCCATATGCAAAAACTAATCAAACCCTAAACTCCTAAACCCGTGGCGAAGTTAACCACCCTTAGCCCAACCCCCTGAACCTCCAGCATCGAAACCCAAGTCTAAACCTCCCGAAACCTTGGAGGAACTGTACCTGTAGGGCGCTTGCGGAGGAGCTGTGTCGGTCACGATCGTCTCGGCCTCCGTGAAGATATGAAACTTCAAGACATTAGGCTTCAAGGCCTTTGGTTGCTGTGAACCATGCGCAGCTCGAAAACCGAACTTTCATTTCAGAGAACCCTAGGACCGGATACTCTAAACTTTCCCTAAAGCCTACAGGCACAATAAAAACGACAATTGCTTTAGCCTGAACCCGAAAGTTTTTTTGCCCAAACACAACCGGAAACACAGACCCTGAACCCCGACACCCTGATATGATAAAAATCTAGGTCCTGCTATGGAGTCTTGCTAATTTTAGTTTAAGGCTTCGAGGGTATATTCTACTAAACCTGTATAGAAAATAGGGACTTCTAGCAAGGGAGTAAGTATTAACTCGCGCTGCTTGTTCTAACCCTTATAATGCTCGGAGGTTGAAAGGTTTTAGGGTTGCCAGATTCGACGCCAAAGCTTACACTGAACCCTAAACTCTGAACCTCCGGGATCCTGCAACAGCCTTCTCGCTTATCCCGTACAACACTTTCATAAACCCTTGAGATCCCCAACCTAAAACCCTCACACCCCAATACCCTACCACATAAAGACCGCAAATTAAAACGGCCGGCCGTGAACTCTAAACCCGGAGGGCCCCAAACCCTAAACCGCTTAAGACCTTGGGCGTGCAACATCGCATAGTTCTGGGCCCCTGACAAAAGAGCCCTACTGTTAGCAAAGGATTGTTGCCGCTTGTTTGTCCTGATCTTCTGTACTGCAGCAGGAACCTTTATACTGTCCAAGAAGTGTTAATGAAATTAAGGTCCGGACGAGCTGGAGAGGCTTTGTGCAGTCCCTGAACCCTAAATCCCCCCAAGGCCCTTAACCCTAAACCCCTAAGCCCTAAACTCCCTAAACTCCCAAAGCGCCCTGGCCCTAAACCCAAGGAAGCACTCGGAGCCTCCTCCTGCTCCGGTCCCGCCGGTGAGGTCGGTGAGGGAACTTCCGTAGGCACTGGCATTTCCTGGCTTTAGGGAGGCGCTGTGTTATGTTGTTGTTGTTGCTGCTTGTTTCGCGTTGTCAATGCTGGCACGACTTTGGATATTGGGTTAGAAAGTCTGGGGCTGCAAGGCTGAGGGCTTAATTGCGGGCTGCACTGGAGGGGCCTATAAACACGGGCCTCTAATGAATATCTCAATTAAGATGCTCTCGAGGTTTTACGGGTCAATCGGGTTTCGTAGGATTTGACGGGCATTGTTGCAATTAGTTGTTTGCACTTTAGTGCTTTAGCATCCAACGGGCTTCGGTGTTCAAAGCTGTTAAAGCTGTCAAAGGCTTCGGCACCTATGCAAGTAGAACAAGTGCTTCGGGGAGGTTCTTGATATGCGCACATGAAGCAGCAAAGCTTTCTGCGATTGAACGATTCACTAGAACTAAAAGTTCAAAATCTCAGAACCGCACTGTATGACAGCCCCGGCGACGTTTATATCCGCAGCAACATGTGTCATAGAAAAGAGCTCATTGCTTTCGACATGGCAGATTTCTCTGCGTGAACCTCATACCTTCCGTGATCCCTCCTCACACAGCACCTGTGTGAATAACTGGACTGGTGCATGTTTGCGATGCTCAGGTCAGGAGAAAAGCTGCAATAATCTGCCGGGCCCACCGTCGGCGATGCCTGAACAGCGCTGCTGCTGACCATCCTGGGCGGAACAGCTGTAAGGTTGGGAAGTTTCAGGGTCTGGATGACAGGTACGTTAACTCAACAGCACCTGCTTCAGGGAAGGGCCCCACAGAAACCCAAAAAGTGCTACAAGAACGTAGGTTCTGGTTGGTTTAGATAGGGGCCTGAAGCCTCAAGCTTACGCCCCACACCCAAGCGCCATAAACCCTTACTAGGCTTACTTCCGAGGCTTCTAGCTTTCGAATGTTTAGCCTGGGGCCTTTGAGCGCAGCAATTCAAACTCTCGGGCCTTCGAGTCCAAAGGAGCGATGGTTCAGGGGCTGTGATGGCGATTACAGACACGTGTGGCAGACAAAGTCGTGTGATGAATAGGAGAAACTCCCCCTTAGGACAGCAGCCCACAATTCACATCTAAGCCCGAAGCTCTGATTACCAGATGGCTTCATCCTTCAAGCACAAGTCTCACATCCCGAGAGCAATCTAAAGCCGACACCCCCTAAAATTGGGGCCAATTCGGGTTTGAGCTGCCCTTGAGTCTCCCCTCTCTTCAAGGGCTTCAGGGTTCCAGGTTTCCTTGGCATAGGAGCTTGGCCAAGACCCTCCGCAAAGGTGATGCTAGTGACTAGCCCGGGTATCACAGAAGGTAGTTGGGCCGGTCTAAGGTAGCATGAAACAGAAAGCAGTGATAACATTCTGAATTCTGCTGCAGACCCCGGCTCCCAAGAACTCTGCCTTCAGGCCGGAATAATAAACGGGACTATGACTCCTGCCACAGGAAGGGGAGATACTGTAATTGTATGCCACCTACCTCACATCCTGAATCCTAAACCCTAAACCCAGAACCCACACTCTACCCATAAACCCTGAACTACTGTGGTCTTCAGGTCCGCACTGCTGCGAAGCCGACGCCTGGAAGTAAGAGGGCGCGTGTCTGAGGATTTTTGTTGGGTACCCACAAAGCCCGAAGGACCTATCAGTTGATAAGAGTTTCAAGAAATACTATAAGGGATGCTCACACCAGCCATGATAGTAATTCCTACCATAGACACCCAATTTCCCCATTGCGTGGGTACTTCACACCTTGTATGGTACTGTCCAGAGTATGTGCTGTCTCCTTCAAGATGATCAAGCCTCTCTACGCAAACCGAACAACCAAAGCCCTCCCGTGATGGCTAGCTGAAAATCTGTGCCCCGCATCCCGCACGCTGGACTCTGCGCCGCGAGCCCCAAATATTTCATGCGAGTCAAAACCCCACCCTTCTTGCCAGGCTCGGGTGTGGTACAGAGGGCTTAGCGTCGGGATTTACACGTCTACATGCACGTGTGTAACATGCGAGGGTGTGTTTGTGTATACGCACAAGGAGATACCGATGTACATAGAGGTAGGGAAACTGGAGGGGAACATTCGGGGATCATTCTTGGATTATACTACTCCAGAAAGGTTGAAGGTTCCTTACTGGGCTACTCTAGGGATATACAGTTGTGCACCACGAATTGTTCAAAAGAAGGGGCCATTATATAGTTGTGCACCACGAATTGTTCAAAAGAAGGGGCCATCTGAAGACTAAACCTTCCACAAGACAACCTCGAAGTCCAATACCTGCACAAACCACAGTCGGGGTTTCAGGGTTCAAGATTTGGGAGTTTAGAACTTGGTGCAAAAGAAGGCCCATACAAGCTAACGGATCTAAGGTCGTCTCCTTTAATTGAAACGATTGGGTGTTCTGGGCACCCACAATACGGTCTTCAGTTTCCAATATCGCATTTGGAGCTCTAGCCCGATACCAGGGCGACTCGAAACTTTGGAGTCGGGTCGTAATGCTAAGAATCAATGACCACCTTATCCCCAAGAGGACTCAGGGCGCTCAGGGCGGCACATCCATCTGGGCACTCTTCTTCATCTCCCTGGTCGGAACCTCCGGAAAACCATGGCAACAGGTTAGGGGATGCAGAGATAAAAGACTGCAATGGTCCACATAATACCAGAACGGGAGTGCAGTTACTGGTCATGACAAAATGTCGAAAAAAGCTCACTCCCACAGTGACCCGGACTCGAGTCCGGAACAGAACGGGATGGTGCAGCAGTAGGCCAGGGGACTTGTTGATAATTGTAATAGGGTCATTGGGGGGGTAGATTATAGGGTAGATATAGAAGACAATACGCTACGATTACTACGTATGCAGACCCCTGTATTAAACTGAAGAGTACGGTTTCGGAGTTGATACTTAGAGTTTATGATGTCAACAGTTTCGGAGGAAGGCACAGTCCAATCCTCAACTCTTGAAGTCTAAGGCCCTTCACCACGAACTCTAAAGCCATGAAGACACGGCCCAAAACGCAAAACGTCTCAAACCCCACACAAACCACCCGCACCAGGTTGACACTTTGGGGCGTAGGGTTTTGGAGTGTTTCGCGCCTGCCGGTTCGAGGATGTTGAGGTTTCGAGCTGTAAGATTCAATATGCCATTCACAAAGCTCGAGACCTTGCATTAGCAAACCTCAAACTACATAGCCTTTGATACCTTGCAGCGCCCATGCGTCCTGAGTCCCAGCTACCGCAAACACCTGATAGCGGTCACACGACAACCGACAGATATACAACATCACCCAACCCTCACACTCCGAATCAAAAACAAGTAAACGTCCATCTGCAATTCACAGCCAAGTCCTGTAACTCCTGAGTGCCCACATCTATATATATATATATATGCCTCTTTATCAGGGCAAAGTCCCTTGCTTGTTTGGGCAGAGCAAGTGAGCTTGTGGTCACAACGGGCGGCTTAAATCAAGGCCTCTTGCTCGAAAACCAGCTGCTCTGGTCCGCTCTTCTAAACGGTTTAGGGTTTAGGGTTCAATATTCAATCATACCCCTTGAACCTTCAATCGCCAATCCCAAACATGCAAAGACATGCTTTGCCTGGAACCCTGTACCCTAATGCGGCGCCGAAGATTGACACCTGAAGCGTTACGAAACTGCAACGGCCAAACACCAAGCCATCGACATCATCAACCCTCTTAGACCCCCAGAACACCTTTGCAAACCTCAAGAAACCGAATCTAGACCCCACCCCTGCACAAGCCCGGCAAGATCTTGAAAAGCCCAGCTTCAGATCCAAAACCTCTGCTTGAAAGACCGGGTGATGAGAAGATTGACCATGCTTTTTGAAGCCGTGCGTCCAAAATTGATCACAAACAAGAAAGTGATCCACAACATTACAGCCAGACCCTAAGCACCCCAAACCCTACAGCCCCGAACCCCAAACCCCAAACGTACAAGGGGACCAACCTCCAGGGTCGGCACACCCAAGCTGCTCGTGGGCCTGAACACGAGAAAAAGAAGTTCAATCAAGCGACGCGTATGGCTCTTTCCATGGGCGGTTCTAGTTTTTGCGTGTGTGTGTGTGTGTCTCTGTGTGCATGTGTGTGTGTGTGTGTGTCTGCATGTGTTTTGACAGCTGCTTGAGGAGGCTTCTGTCGGAACTTTTTCACGCGTTGTGAAAGTTTCTTTAGGCTTTTGTACGGAAGTTTTGTGATGCGGCCGTATTTTAGATATGTCTCCCCACATTATTCGCCGCAAGATGGGTGAGGAGTTCTATACTACTCAAGCTTGCTGCTGAGGGTTTTGCACCGTTTGCCAACATTCAAACCTCAGGGTTTGTGAGATCTTCTTCTTCTTCATGATCCTTCTGCGCTCCACAGGCTCTCCGATCGCGAACTCTGCACCCTGAGTAAGCACCAAAACCCGAAACACCAAAGCACCTTACTTAAAAGGGATTGTCATGGGTACTCTAAGTTTTGAGGCTCTCGGCCGTATTGACCAGGTTGTACATGAACGCAGGTGGTTGGCGAGGCTCTAGGCAGACCAAACCCAGAAACCCACACCCCACATCCTGAAACCTAAATAAATCCTCAAACCGAAATAGACTTAATTGTTAAGCCCCTGAACCTGATACCAAAATTCTGAATCCTCCCAGCTTCGCAACCGTTGACCAAGAAACCAGTACCTCCAACTCAAACACTCAACCCCAAGCTCTAAATCCGTATAACTTGAACCCAAGATCAAACAGGAGTTGGGGTTTGGGTTTTCGGAAGGCTTTAGTCCTTGGCTCCACAGTAACTTAACTATGTTGATAGCATCTTGGGCACTCGTGCGCGCGTGTGAATCTGGAAGCAGTCGAGGCCCGGAAGAATCTCCTAAACCCTCAACCTCAATCCTAAACCCTAAATACCAGAGCCCCAAGCCCTTCATCCCAAAACCCATACATAGGTCCTGGGTCCTAAAATCGAAATCCCACCCCCTCACCCCCTGAACCCCGAACTATCAACCCAAAAGCCTCATCCTAAAAGCCTGAACCACAGCCCTAAACCCTATAATACACCTTAAACTCTTGACTTCCTACATCCCAATACTGTCTTATACTTATAGCATAGTATGCCCCCCAAGACCCTTTGCTAGCTGTTAAGGCCCCTGCCTAAATCCGAAACCTGCTGACTCCCTGGGACCCAGGCGGCAGCGCTGTCTCGACCGTGTGCGTGTCATCCTCCGGCTGTGAGCTGCGGTGTTGAGCGGAATAGAAAAGTATGTAGGGTTTAGGGTTTAGAAGGTTTAGGGGTTCAGGGTTTAGGGTTTAGGGACCGTATCTCCAAGGATTAGGTAGGGTGTAGAGTTCCGAGTATGGCATCATGTCGTAGCTTCACCATAAACCCCCAAAACCCGAAGCCCTTAAACCCCAAAGCACACTGAACTGCGTGCCCGTTACGCCGAGTCCAATTTCAGATGATATTGCTTGAGACCTCCAACCTCGAAGCCCCAAACACGCATCGAAGGGCTTTATTAAAATCTTCTAGGGCTTGATAAGGGGATATAGGAGTTCTGTAAGGAGATTGAAATTGATGGAGAGCCCTGACTAGTCCACCCCTCCTCGAGGGCCTGAATACTGGCCATGCCGCAAAGCTGTGTGCCCAAACCAAAAGTGTAAACCTCCAACCCCAGAGGTGTAGCCGCTTGGACGCATAAGAGGACCGTGCGCTTTTAAGTTTAGGGCTGAGACTTTAGGATTCAGTGTTTGAATTTACGTGGCTGTAAAGGTCAGAATTCCATTTATCCGGTCCTCGTCATCGTCACCGCCGGGAGAAGTTGGCGAGGGCATCTCGGTGGGAACGGGCATGTCCTGTGTCATTTGATGCAGGGATTTTGAGTCGCCCCGCGACAATACCCAAACTGTAGAAGAATTCCAAATGGCATCTCACTCTCTCTCTCTCTCTCAAAAATCAGTGTGTCTATATATATATATATATATATATATATATATATGTGCGTGTGTATGTTGCATGCATGCATGTATGTATAATGCACATATGCTGAAAATCCGTGTTCAGTAGATCTCTCTCTAAACATAAGCTCTACCCGGCCATGTGGCCAGCGCCACGGTGCGGCCCCTTACTTATCTACTCGCTCGGAACAGCGATTTTGCGGCTTACGCTGCTTCGCGATTACAGGCCTTGGGGCTGATGGCTTCAGGAAACTATTCTCCGGTTTACTATCTAATGAATATATATATATATATATATATATATATATGCATACATACATACACATTAATTAGCTAGTACTGATAGAAAAGGATTTCCGTTGATGGACCTTGAAACATCATGCCCCGACATAGCTCGCGGTTCATAGCTCTGGCGAAGGAGCTTCAGACTCCTCAGGAAAGAACAGCACCCATACACGCCCAACACCTCGCAACCCCAGGCCACCCTGAACCGTAGACCGTACTTAGCTCTGCGCATAGCGGATTTGAGGAAGAAGCTCTCTTTCTAGAAGGGAGATCCGACGCGAAAGGGAACCTGCCTTGCGGCTAGTTTGTTCAAAAGTTCAGGGTTTATGGGTCCGGAGTCGAGTGATTAGGGGACGTGTCCCTGTGGTCTTCTGAAGTCGTGAACCCTACAATTTGAGGGTCAGCGGAGGCTCAAATTTGTAAAGCCCAAACTTAAACCCAAACCTGCAGATGCCAAACCGTAACCCTAAACCTCAAACCCCAAGCCCTAAACCCTAAGCCATAAAGCTATACGCCCTAAACCCCAAACCCCAAACCCTAAGCCCCAAACCTATAAGCCCTGAACCCCAAACCCTAAACCCCAAACCCTAAACCCCAAACCCTAAACCCCAAACCCTAAGCCCTAAACCCTGAGCCCTCAAAGCCCCTCGGCCGCGCCGTCGGAGAGCCCGGCGCTGCGCTGCTGCTCACCATCCTCGGAACAATCCATCTTAGTAGGGAATGGGGGAATGGATTACAGAGGCTATTATTGGGGATTATATAGGGACCATCAAAGGGATCCATCCCCCATTCCCTACTAAGAACCACACGAAAGCTCACAAAGACAATCTACTTACATAGGCTGTTAGGATTTAGGGTGTTTGGGGGGGGGTGTAGGGTTTAGGGTGTTTGGGGGGTTTAGGGTTAAGGGTTTTTGGGGGTTTTGGGTTTAGTGGCTTAGGGTGTTTATCGGTTTAGGGTAATATCATACTACAATCTCTACTCTACAAGGTGTTTTGAGGGATTTAGGGTAATATCATAATACAGCCTATACCCTAAATCCTAACAAGAGCCAACACAGTCTGTCAGGGTGGCTGATGGGCTGAAGGTTCTTAAACTCGCACTAAGAGAGAAGGCAACAACAGCCAATGCAAAAGTTTGAAGTTCAGGAGTTAGGGTTCTGAGGATGAAGGCGATAAGGATGCAGGGGTCATGGTGCTGAGGACAAAGTACTTAATAGGACTTACCTGTAGCTCCAAGCCCTGCGAAACAATGGCTTGGGCCCCCTTCTGCGAAGGTGAAACCCTTCACGCCGTAGCTTAGTCGATCCCAAAGAAAGGCCCAAAACCCTGAACCCTGAAAGCCCTAGAGCCCTAAACCCTAATAAAGTCGTTAGGTGAAGTCCCATGGTCTGGGCTCCAAGCATCTGCGATGCCGGTGCCTGCCCATGCAGCTGTCATACTGAAAAACCCTGAACCACAAAGTCCGAACTCTGAACCCTAAGCCCCGAACCCGGAGCTCTAAAACCTAACCCTACCCTATGTTCAATCGAAGGGCTGAGCCGTTAGGTTTGCTTTCCTGACTTCTACTGATTGCAGGCTTGCGCAGTCATCAGGTCCGTATTTGGCGCCGCGCTGTTCTGCAGGTTTTTGCGGTTTCGGTGCCAGGATAGGACTTTGCTTTGCTTTGGGAAAGGGGGGGTGGGGGGAATGGGGGGGAGGGGTGTGCTTTCGTTCTCATGCCAACAACTATCGTTGGAACTCCGCAGTGTTTACGATGGCCTGGTACCGCAAGTTCGAGGGGGCCATAAACCTTTGCACCCCTCCGCGCAAGAAGCGCCGCACTGATTTCAGAGTTTTAGCTGGTTGAGGGTGTAGGGTTTAGGGTTTTAGGACCTATAGGGGTTTAAAGTTTTAGATCGGGGTCAAGGTGTTGGGGATTGCTTGCAGAGGTTATAGTTTTGAACATGTACGTACATGAGTATCTCTACAGCTTTGTTTGGCGGTCCCAGTTGAAACCCGACTGCGACTTTCGAAACGGTTAGGGGAAGCCTGCTGCGAAAAAATGCAACGCCCTAAGTTTCAAGGCAGCATGATCCTTCAGAGTCACTTCAACAAGCATGTATAGTATGAACATTGCTTAATTTTGCTGGCAGGCGTGGCGTGGGTTTAGAGCCCATTCAATTGAAAAGCGCCTTCCGAAAACCCCTGCGTTCAATTCTTGCGCAGTGAAGCCCTTATGGCTTCAGAACGGGCTTCGGATTTGGCTGCATGTGCAGCATGAAGGCCTTAAATACTGCAGTAGGGCTTTGGTGTACATTATCGCACGGAATAGTACTACTAACTCTTCATGCCCACATACTACACTGGTCTTGCGGAGATGTATAAGAACAAGGCTTGGACTATAAACTATCAGCCGAACTTCTTACTTTGGGCCCAGGGTTTTGGATTTCGGTTTCTGGATCCAGGGTTTATGGATGAATGGTTTCGGGGTCTTGGGCTTTACTCTTTAGGGCTTAAGGCCTTGAGTGGGGATTTGGGACTCAGGGCTTTAAGGCTCAGGGCTACAAGCCTGCCCCAAAGCCTAAGATGCTGCTGTTTACGCTTTTTAGGCTTTGGGTTCGGTTTAGGGGTTTTGGGACCCTGCGCCTCGATCTCCGGTGCCACTGCAGTTTGTGTTGGAAGTGTCGGCCTAGGCGGTCGCGCTGCATGTTCCCACTTGTCGGGTTTCGTGGGGAACTAAAGATTAACCTTTTTGGCTATATAGGGATTATTAATTATATACTCTCTTGCGCGCAGTCTACCCTGGAATCATCTTAGCAATTCCCTGGTGGTCCCGGCATCTGCGTCAAAAAACGATGCCGTCAGAACATGCCGGAAAACTTGGAGCCTAAACTCTGAACCGTCTTAACCTCTGACCGAAGTCCAAACCCCAAGCCCTACATCCCGGACGACTTGGAAGCGAACCAACTTAACCCCCCCCTTGAAAATATGACACATACATACAAGCCGCCTACTCCCCCTGGAACCACTGTGGAACCACTAGGATGGCTGGGTCTGGCGTTCAGGGTCCGAGAACCCGGACCATGAAATATTTTGGTCAAGCTGCTTCTCCATACTCTTCCGGGTGATAAAACAAGGACGAAGAGCTAAGGTAGGCTACACGGAGACGACGGTCGACGACATTGGAATTCCAGAGACTCCCCCTTTATTTCCTGAGCAGCCAGCAGGACAGTTTCAGTGAGCGCCATTGTTGCCTTCCCAAGGCATTCAGAAAAATCCAAAGTGAAATCATGAAATCAGGGTTCAAGAGTATTTAGCAGCAGTGGTTTCGGAATCCCTGCACTGACAGTGTCCGGTGTCTGACCATGTCGGAAGCTGTGTGGAGAGTTCAAGCTGTGATAATTTGACACTTGAATCTGCATTGCATGCTTCTACAAGGTGTTATTTGAGGTCTAATCTAGGGTTTCGACCTCTTCGGGGCGAGGTGGTTTGTAGACCAACATCTGCAGACTCTTCTGCGTGATCTCGACCCATGACAGGCCGTGTTTAGGGGTTGCGGGTTTAGAGCCCGAGAAAGACCAGATCTTGCCAAGACACCTTAGGGTTCTGTCCTTTATATCCCGTAGATGTTCTGGAAGCCCTTGCGATAACCCCTAAACTAAACTAAACCGTAAACTCACAAAACCAAATATTTCATACATATATATATATATATACCCTGAACTAAATGTAGGTCTTCTTAACCAATTTAAACGTGCATCCATCGCATTGGGAGCTAAACAACTCTGCGAAAAACATCGCTATCCACAAACCCTGAACACTGAACCCCCAAACCCCTAAACCCCTACCCTTAAGCCCTAAGCCCTGAGCCCTAAACCCCAAAACCCTAAAGCCCTAAACCCTGAACCCTATAAGCCCTAAACCCCTATACCCTATAAGACCTAAACCCTACACCCAAAACCCCTAAACCCTATAAGCCCTGAACCCTGCCCTACACCCTAAACCCTAAACCCCTAAACCCTGTAAGCCCTAAACCCTGTAAGCCCTAAACCCTGTAAGCCCTGAACCCTACACCCTAAACCCTAAACCCTGTAAGCCCTGAACCCTACACCCTATAAACCCCTAAACCCTATAAACCCTAAACCCTACACTCCATAAACCCTAAATCCCTAAACCCTGTAAGCCCTAAACCCTAATGTGCACAAGCTGGCCTCTTCGATGTCAGAGCTCGGCCGGGCTGGTGAGGGCATCTCCGTTGGCACTGGCATGTCCTGCTGCTGTTGTTGTGGGTTTCAGGTATAGGGCTTAGGGGTTTTAGGGTTTTTTTTTAATGCAATGGCTCTTTCTGCTCTGCGCGAACGAACCTGCCTCTGGGGCTTGCACCTCGTCGGCTATTTCTGCACGACTCAAACAAACATGCTTTGCACTCACTCATTCATCCCGGCTTCGACTTCTGTCTCTGTCAGCTCCAGGGTTGTAAGGCGGATCATCAGACGAACCACTAGACTCCCGACGACGATGACTTTGTGAGGGTAGACCCATGTCAGGCAAATGATCATTTGGAGGTTCCGAACGATCACGAGATACAGGAAGACCACGAGATTCACGAGCTCCCCAAGGTGTGCGATGTCCAGGACGAAGAGGTTGTCCATGGTCACCTGGTCGACGAGCAAGACGAGGCTGAGGACGGCGAGCAGCATGCCGGCGTCGTCCTTGGGCATCCAGTGGAACTGCTCCTGGCCTCACTTGAGTCTCCCCAGTTGGCCAATTGGGAATCCTTTCATTTTCATGCTGTTGAACCAGGAAGAGTTGTTCATCTCCCTCTGGTGGCCAGTTGCCTTCGGGCACATAGTCAAGTTCCCCACGGAAGACATTGCGAGCATTTTGACGCCATGCTCGCCGACGGTAGCCAACAACGACATGATCTGGCCGATCAGGAAGTGCTGCACGAAGTTCATCGGTAGTCGTCGGGAAGCCAGGGGTCAACAGTGCCGACGGCGACGTCACGAGTTGATCAGTGGTGGAGCTGGTAGGTCCCGATCCAAACTGCGCCTCCTGCTCTACGACCTGCATGATGTTCTGCTCCGCCGTCCCCACATTCAATGCTGTCGCCGTGAGGGGAACATTGAACCATCGCAAGGTCTCCTCCATGGCAGCCATGATGAGATTATGACGATGCTGTAGTCGACGTTGACGATGAAGAAGTCGGCGAAGGAGCTCCACTGTGTCACTGTGACCACCATGGATGAGATTAACGTTGACTTCATCCCGCACAACGTCTGTCGGCCATAGGAGGCCAGGAGCTCCTCCCGGCGGTACAGGCGCCACACTTGACGTCGTAGTTGTCGAGGTTGTAGAGGACGTCCAGACTGCACATGTCTCATTGACGTTTCGCCCCCAATCTCCACCAAGATTTTCTTCGACATCTGTTGCCACAACCCAGGTAGTACTTGTCGTCGAAGTGTGTCCATCTCCATTGTCAACGTCCCCCGAATCTGGTTCCGGTTCTCTCCAAATTCCCATGAGTTCGGTAGGCGCAAGTGGCATAGGATCAGCCGAAGAGGATGCCATACCAGTTGCTTGTTGCCATGCGGCGGGGGCGTTGACCGGCTGTGGAGGTGGTGGTCCAAAGGGGCCTTCAGACATCGAGGGTGGGCGAATCGAATCACCGTCAGAGTCGACAATGAGATCACTGTCAATTGTAGGGTAGTGGATGGAGGTCCCAGTCGGACTCCTAGATCTTGTGCGCCGATCGCGTCGTCTCGTTGCACGTCGTCTTGTACCACTTACAGAACTCGTAGCCACCGTTGTGGAAGACCCCGGCCTCGAGGAGAGATCCGTCCCCAGGCTGACAAAGCTGTGAGTCTCGGTTGACTCCACTGGTGCCACTGGAGAGCCTTCTGTATCTTGGGGTTGGAGACGGACTGCTAGGCAACGCTCAAGAGTCTGCACAAAAAGGTCCACATAGTTGCGTGCCCAGTTGAACAACCTCCACCTGTCCTCTTCTGCTCGGGGAACACGTCGTACTGGAAGGAATCCTTGTGGCACAAATCTCCGCGCGATGACTGTGTGGAGGGCTTCCAAGGCATCGATACCATCCACAAGTCTGGCATGTAAGCATCCAACTGCCCAGCGTCCTTCAGCACCTCTCCCCTCTGTTTGCATCCGATCTAAGGCCATGAGGAGATTCTCGACTCGTTGTACCATTGACTGGGGCACTCCCCGTTCTTCCAGTCGACGTCTCTCTGCATTGGTGAGTTGCATGAGCGCGGTCTCCTCAACGTCTTCATCGGACTCTGAGTCACTTGGTGGCCGAGGAACAAAGGGCGGGAGACTTCCCACTGGGTGGACTTCCGGGAAGAGTCCCCAGTTCGGAGGCAACTGTGGTGACGGAGGTGTTTCCATGAAGGTCGTGGACGAGACAGTTGTGGAGATATCCTCCCAGTCCACGGACTCATCCCATGGGGCAGACGCCAACGTAGAGGTAGTAGTCGAGAAGGGCAAGGTTCGATCCCTAGTTAGCCAGGCAGGGAATGCACACGGAGCCAGTGTCGATGTTGTTGTGGATGTAGAGGAAGAAGAGGATGAGGTCCAGTCCCAGTCTTCCCATTCATGCCAACCACGGGCCCACCACGACCACTTGTCAGCTTCGGAAGTCCAAGACGACCAGGACCATTCCTGATGCTGTTCACCATCCCACCAGTTTGCCGTATCGTCGTCAGTCGCGACCACCCATTGCTGTTCTTCTTGTTCCCCGCTTGTGGTTGTGTCGGCCTCGGGTCTGTCGACACCAGGGTCAGGGCCAAGTTCCTGTACATGTGGCTGATCAACTTCACCAGCAGGCTCTTCTGCTCCACGTCGCCGTAGTTCTCGGTCTCGGATATAATTCTGCAACCAAGCAGGCCGCCATTTGCCGTCAAAATATTCTTTCATGCGACGTTGCTGTTTGAGCCAACGGTGCATCCCGCCACCACCAACATGGCTTCTGACTTTCTCAGCTGTGCGTGCACGTGGAATCCATCGACCATGGCGCCAAAACCCCACTGATTCACCTGGTGACGAGGATGGGGCATCCGAAGAGGAGGCCGCCTCATCATCCACCGACGTTGCCCCTCCCGTGTCAGTTACATTCGTGGTTAGGTCGTGATCATTAGCCTCACCTCCAGCCGTAGTGGATTCTCCCGAAGTAGCTCCCGTGCCACTGGCCCATACCGCAAAGGTTTGGCCGTAGAACGTCTTAGCATGCACCACCGGGCCTTGGGCTCCCTGTTGTACTCCCAAAATCTCAAAAGGCGGGGTCTCTTCTTGTATGGTACCAAGACGGGCTTCTCTGGCTCGGCGTTCTTGTAGACGATTGCGAACTGTTCCGTCGGCATGGTGCCAGCGGTCTCTTCCTGCACGAGGATGATTGAAGCGCCAAGTAACCCCGGACTCACCATCCGTAGGCCCAGAGTCCTGTTGGCGAGGAAGCGAAGGTGCCGAACTAGACTCAGATGCAGGAGTCACCGCATCATTAGCCCAGGTTGTTCCCCATGGATCAAGGATTGCCTCCTCCAGCTGCCATGTACTCGATGAGCCCCCCGACGTAGAGCTCGCAGGTGTGGAAGAAGACCAGCTCGGCAATGGCGGGGAGGAGGAAGTACCCCGGGTAGTGGATGAAGACCAATCCAGCGAAGTTGAAGAAGACAACGGCATCGAAGAGGAGGACGGCATCGAACTGGATGAGCCAGTCGAGTTCTCTTGTTCAGACAAGGGGACCATGGGCATTACTGCTGCCGATGAGGCAGGTTCCGAAGGATTCATGCTCCCCTCACCCCTATCACGTGGTGTTTTAGTGGCAATCAACAACGTAGAGGGATCTCGTCCCGGAGGGTGTTGAGCAACTTCAGGTTGAGGGGCACGTCCTCGTAGAACACGACCGTCATGTAGAAGCGCGGTTAGTCCCGAAGTTGTTGAACCATTATGTGTAATCAACTGGTCTGACTGGAAGGGCACAGGCAACGAGTCTGGCGCAGGCGGGTTTTCCATGTAGACGGGAAGGTTGGCTGCGTCATCCTCCTCCACGTCTGGCTGTTGTTCATCCGCAAGTTGTTCAGCCAGCGAAACATTCTCATCCCAGCCAGCCGCCATGTACAGACACTGTTGTTGGTGGGTCCACGAAGACATTGTTACGGGCGGCAGTGGCAAAGTCGAGCAGGCGGACGAAGACGAGGCCCCCGAGTTCTCCCATGTGTCATTTTCCTCCCAAGGAGTGCTGTCACAGCCAGAGAACAGGTTGCCGAGGAGCGCGAGCAGAAAGGCGAAGCTGAGGAGATGCCTCATGGCGTCAATCTCGAAGGAAGGACAGGGAGGGTTTCCACAAATCACCTCGAGCCAGCTGAGCAGAGCAATCAAAGATGTGTGAGTTCAGCACGATGCTGACAATCGTGCCGGTAGTCAGAGCGTGTGCAAACATGTTCAGAAAGTAGCTTGCCATGATTCACAAACAGGTTCATGTAGGATCCTGAGGTCGCAAAAGTTCACAGAGAAAGGAAGATCAGAAGCAGATCAGAGAGGATGAAGTGAACCTTGAGGTCAGGAGTAATGCACGGTCACGTGAGGGAGCCTACTCAGCACTTGCCAGGCTTCACAAGGCTCACCACAATGACTCAAAAGCGCAGTGCAAGCTGTCGACCGCTAGTCCATTTCACGTCCCACATTTGAAGGGACATTGCTCTGGCTGAGCACCATTCAGCCCGATTTTGGGCTCGAACGTGCCATAAACTTCCGTGTGCTTCCGAGATCTGCCGTTCAGGGTTGGATGCATAGAATCTCCCTGGATGACGCATACCAACAGTATCACTGAGCGACTGCTGAAATCGCCACCAATGTGTGCACCGCCATAGGAGTGCCTGCATGGGCAAGCTCGGAGAGAGTTCATCCCGATCCCGGTCATGTTCGACCCGACGTGCCCAGTGACCATGGATGTTATGCTGCAAAGACAAAATCTTGGTGCTCCACCGCTGAAAGCCGTTATTCACGAGCCAAACTCGGCAGAACCTGAGAGATCTTTTGTTCCAATCAACCCACGTTTCTCCCTGCTGCCGTTTGATTCCAAAGGCTCTGCGAAGAAGCTGTAGCTGTGCTGTATTCGCAGCACTGAGTTCTTGGGAGCTCCAATGCACAGCTCCCGCAGTCCAAGACCATTGTGATTCAACTAGGCATCGAATCATGTCAACCTTTTTGGTCCATGGGCCCCGAGCACAGAGAATATCATCATGTGCTGCAGCGGCTGTTCTTGCACGACCCAGTAATTCACGGGCTTGCTGGTGGGGGCCTTCATGGAAGGAAAAACTGACACCGAGGACTTTCACCGACTCATCTTCTCCAGAAATTTGGTAAAATTCGTCCCCAACCTTGGCCGATCGGGCACCAGCATATTCAGGGCTGGCGACGATCTTTGTCTTTTCCTTAGCGAGGCGCAGTCCAGCTTGGGCCAGGCAACGATCAACGATCCGAATCTTTTTTATGAGACGAGCAAGGTCATCGTCAATCAAGAAGACGTCGTCCTGGTAGAAGAGGAGACTAACCAAGAGATCCTCACATAGTCCTCCCATTTGCTGCCATCGATCACAGTGAACCAATTCGGAGAGAAGGGAGTCCACCAGCAATCCGAAAACTTCGGCGCTCTCAGGTGCACCTTGTTTAATGCCATTATTAGGCGAGAACCGGATGACATTACCTCCAGGGACATTCCCAACCAACTCATGGGTTCGCAACTGCGACAGAAGATAACGAAGTTCGGCTGGCATCCCTTCATCTTTGAGACGAGAACAAAGAAGCTCTGCCACTTTGCGGCGGTCGACTCTGTCGAAAGCGCCTGCAACGTCCAGCTTGCAAAGCAGGCATGGCATCCTCCATTCATGTACTACATCCCGGATTCGGGACACACTCCCAATGAGATCAGCTGCTTGTCTTCCCCGTCCACATGCCGAGATACGGGAGCCGCGTCTCATCCTAGGAAGTGCGCGGCTGCAGACCAGGCGGTTAACGAGTTTGTTGAACGCTGAGCTCACACAGATAGGCCGCAAGTCTCCCACTTTGTTGGGTTCACAGCACTTAGCCAAAAGTGCAAGAAAGCTCACGGACCAACTGTGGGGAGACTGCTGGGTCTGGACGATGTGATTCACCAAACTGAGCAGCTGAGGCGCCAATGTCTCGTGACTGGCGATCTCTCGGAGAAGGTGTACACTTATGCCGTCTGGGCCAACGGCACTTCGACATCTCATCTGTTGTAGTTCGGTCCGGATCTCAAGCAAGTTGAACGGCACGAAGGGGACGGTCTCCGAGGGGGCGGGCAAGTCGTCGATCAACTTATGAAGTGCCTCATCCCAGTCCTGCTTGCTTGGACATACCATCTTCCCAACAAGGTGGTCTTTCACTTCCGCCGTGAGTTGTAGAGCGCTCCTGTCCTGTAGCAAGTTTCCCCACCATCCCCGTTTTTTCTTTTTCTCGTTCTGAAGGGCTCTAAACTCATCCCAGCCACCAGTAAGAATGCGTTGGAGTCGGAGGGATTCCCATGTTCGGCGATCTTGTTTTCGAAGTCGATGCACTCGTTTCCACGTGGCTTTGCACTTGTCTCGTCGGGCCTGGTGGATCAGATCTTTAATCTCATCACTGTCCCTGTAGGCACGGCTGCGGCGTGGGCACGTGAACGTTTGAGCCAACTTCTGCAGGTCCTCTTCGTCTACAATGATCGTGTCCGGCAGGTCAGAGTGAACCCAACGAGCGCGAGAATCATTTCCCCAACGACGTTTCATTGCTTTGCCTTTCTTGAAGATCTCGACATGAAGCAGAGCATGATCGGTGTTGATGACAAATCGTCTGTCTTTATCAATGACAACCTCACCACATTCAAGTCCACGGGTGATCATTATGTCGATTTGCCTGCCTGCTCTGTTTTCATCCCGTGGGAAGTGCGTCGCTTGTTGTCTCTGATGGAAGGAGGGGGGGATGGTCCGGCAACCACATTTGACAGCCTCATCGAGCAAGACGTTCATGTTTTCAGAACAATGACCGATAGTGAGGACTCTATCATCTATCTCATCCCATTTCGGGACTTCATTCGCATCAATGCCACAGAGAAGTGGGTACTGACGCCACTTGGCGGGAAGCTTGGCGAAAAAGTCCAGGACAGCTCCTTGGTACTCGGCATTCGTCACGCCCGTGTGTCCGTGCATGCTGCCACAGACAACTCGCCCCAGTCCATGTATTCTGACCAAGACCCAAATTCCCCTGGCGCAAGAGACCTTGTGGATAACGCAGTCGAGTCGGTCATTGACGATCCCTACGCCAGTGGCTCTCCATTGGTCCCGATGACGGTAGGTGACCCAGTGGTAGTTGTCAGTGTCTACAGTATCCCATCCAACTTTGCCTCTGGCGATTTCCTGCACCAGCACAATCTCGGCGTCGCTCACGGCAATTTCACTGTTACGAAGATCTTGTCCTGCAAGGTTCCACTGAGCCACCCTGCCCCACCTATGTTTTGCACACGTAGAGGCAGAAGGACGAGCACGTACTCCTTCAGAGAAAGTCGTCCCGTGAACATCAGTGTCTGAATTCTCTTGGGTGAAACATTCCACTTCTCCCTCTCACAGTTCATGTTCGAAAGCCGTTTTGGCTTCCGTGACCGTGCATCCCGCCACCTCCGAGATAGCATCTAGTGCCACCCATCCTCCTGGCATGAGGATGCAATCTGCGTCCCTGGGCTGCTTGTGGGTTGCACTAGCTAGTTTGTGGCTTCCCGACCAGATTGTTCCAAGGCTCCAGTCACAGTCGTAGGCCGCGAACTGTGTGTTTGCCAAGTTCTTCACCCCTCCTTCTGCATTCTTGGCTGACAGGGCTAGATCACAACAAACTCGGCGTACCATGGAGACATGGGAACTTTTCAGTCGAGCATTGCGAGTCTTCACAAAACTCGCCCACATATGCTTGACTTCTCCAAATTCACGGGTACTGCTGAGCTCAAACTTTGTGTTCGCAACCAGCTTGATGACCTCCCACATCCTGTTTTTGACATCGCTGAAAGTCTCCCCCTGTCGTTGGCTAAATTTCAACATCCCTACCGAGCGTCTGGGACCGTAAATGGCGAGCTTCTGGGCGTCCACGAGCTTCTGAATGTCCTCTGTCGCAAACAGCACGGCACTCTCCCCTTCAATGATAGCCCGCTTGGTGTCACGAGCCCATCCTCCGATGACGAGCGTTCTCTTCTCATCCTCAGTGAGTGTGTCACCAGACCGGTCACCCACTCGATCGGAAGGGGGCTCAAGTCCAATGTTGTTTGGACCCTTGGTCATTCCTATATTCTCCTTGCGACGGTAGAATTCAGCCCAGGGGTCGGAGGGTTCAACTGCATGGTTCATCCCGTCTGCTTTCGAGCGATCTTCAAGGGGAGCTTTCTGTATCTCCTCAAGTTGGACCTTCATCTTGCGCACGTTCTCCGCCAACTCCTCCACATTCTTGACAACTGCGTCTTGCTTTTTGTTGATCATCACATTGTCCTTCTCGATCGCGCTGGCACGGGTACGGATGTTGATCATCTCATGGCTCTGCTGCAATTGTTCGGACTCAACCTTGTCCAGTCTCCCCTGAAAGTTCCGCCACGCGTCCTTCATGTCGTTCATGTGACCGAAGAGCAACTCCCGCATTTCCTTGCCACTCAAAGGAGGATCGCTGACTTGTGCACGCTTGCTAGGGCTTTCTTCGTCATCATCGTCATCTTCATCACCTGAAGCCCCAAGATCATCAAGTCCACGAGCTGCATCAAGACCAGCACGAACGTCGCGACCTCGACCACGACGACCTCGACCAACTGCTGCACGTGGTTCCCGCTTGCGCTTCTCCTGCTTCTCCTGCTTCACTTCCGTGTCCATGGCCTCGGCAGCTTTGTCGTCATCACTCGACTCAGCAAGTTCGGTCGGCGACCCGCGAGCTTCCGGCACAAAGTTCGTCTCCCCTTCCATGTGCGTGTCGTCCCCCATCTTGATCTTCCCAAGGATGCGCAGAAGGAAGAACTGTTGATGCCGGAGAGAAAGTCAAGATCCAGGTCGCTCGGCGAAGCCCACAAACTTCACCCCTGACCAGAGCAGATTGCCAACACGGTGCAACGATCCCCGATGACAACCAGGACAGACAGGAAGTGGCCGCCAGAATGCGAGCTCACCGGCAGTGCCACAAGACCAGAGCAGATTGTCAACACAGTGCCACGATCCCCGAAGTCACCCAGGACAGACAGGAAGTGGCCGCCAGAACGCGAGCTCGCCTGCAGTGCCACAATCAACAAAGAGGTACGAGAGCTCGTCAGAGTGGCCGCCCCACTGCGTTCACGAAGATGGCAGCCTGAAAGAAAGGAAGGGACCTGGGGGCAAACAAGAGAGAGTGTTCGGGCCAACAGCTTGAGCCGTAGCCAGGTTTAGGGTTTGAGGTTTAGGGCTTAGGGGTTTAGGGGTTTAGGGTTTAGGGTTTCGGGGTTTAGGGCTTACCGGTTTAGGGCTGTTGTTCATGATCCAGAGCATTCGGTTTGAGGGTTAGGAGGTTATCTCTCTATCTCTCCGTCTCAGAGTCTCTGCATAAAATGCACCTGGAAAACACAGATATTGCATATATACACCCATATACCTGCACAAAGCTGTAATGTACACGTATACAAACAACTACATGCGTGTATGTGCATCGGTAGGTGTGTATATATATACATACACACATACATACACAGACTATCCATCCCAAGTGCCGATTGACCTACGTGCCCAGATCGATCTTTCTCTGTCTATCTCTCTCTGTCTCTGTGTCTGTCTGTGTGTCACACAGAACCACTACTTATGAAAACCTTGCATAGAGATCACGTAGAAACCGTTTTGGGGAACCCGCTGTCCATCGGAAAAACAGCGCAACGAACTTTAAACCACCGAACGTTCAGACTTTGATCGTTCGCCCTGAAGCCTTAAATCGTAAACCCTTAAACACAAAACCCGCAACCCCAAAGCTCAATACCCTGAACCCCGGCCCCACACCCTCAACCCCCAAACCATAAGCCCTGACCCTTAAGTCCCCCCAACAACCCTTAACATCCGCAGCTTAACACCCGCTCCGTGGGAGATCCCGTCAGCGCGCTGCTGCTCATCATCCTCGGAAACCCGGCATCAACTTGGAGGCTTGTACTTTCGGGTTTTGGTGTTGGGCTTTGGGGTTCAGGGCTTATGGCTTAGGGTTGAGGGCTTTGGACTTAGGGCTTGGGGTTTAATAAGTGTGAAATGTTTAAGGTCTAAGACTTAGGGTTTAATGAACAAGGTAAGGGCTTAGGGCTGAGGACTTTGAGACTTTGGGTTTAGGTTTGAAGGCATTTAAGGATTTCGCATGCAGGGTTGAGGCCTTAGAGACTTTAGCGCTTCAGTCCAATATGGTGGACCAAGCTCATTTTCAAGCATTTAAGGGCTCCCTGCACGGTTCTATGATTTTACTTTGAGGATTCAGGGTCCTGATATTCAAAGGAGAGGAGTTTGGGATTTTGGGGTGTTCGTGCTATTGAATTTTTGTTCAGGTAGTGCTACTGATTCTTCAGCCACCCTAAAGCCCAAGCCCCAAAACCCTAAAACCCCAAAATTAGGGTTCGACCCCACAAGAAGGTGTTTCATAAAGCCCCCAGGCGAGAAGGAGTCCCCCCCATGGGGGGATCCACACAAGGGCCACTTCGTAAGGTTTCGCACTTAGTGGATTCGGGGCTTGTTCGCAATGGAATGGAAATTAAGGGTGCAGGTTGTGCAGGGCTTAATTTCTGTTTAGGGTCTCGGGTTCGGGTTCTGACTTGGATTTAGGGCCTGAACGTTGCCAAGTTTGGGATTGCGCTCTTTTGGGGTGGTGTGTTCAGGGCAGTTCAGATGTTTGGGCTCTACGGTCAAGCGTCATTGGGATTTATCCTCTTGTGCTTTTCTGCTTGAGCATCCCTGCTGTTTCTGCATCTAAACCCTAAACCCTAAACCCTGAACCCTAAACTCTAAACCCTAAACCGGTAAAACCCTACAGAAACAGTTTAGCCTCGGTTTGTCAGGGTTTAGGCATTTGGGATTCTGGTGCCTGTCGAGACTTAGGGGTGCAGGTGTAGGGTTAAGGAGTTTAGGACTAAGGGATTTAGGCGATTGAAGTTTTCGGGTCCAGTGGTTTGAGGATTTGGATTTCGGGCAGGTCCCAGGGTTTGACATCTGGGGTTTCGGTTTCCAGGTTGCCATCGGATCGGAAGATGTGGAAGGCATGCCACAGAAAGTTCCACAGCCGAAGCTGATACAAGTTGAAGCAGTTGGTGATTGGAACCGATCTTTTTTTTTTTTGTTCCAACCACGTCGCTCTCGCGTGTGCCGGGCCAGTTCCAGGAGAAGGCACGACCAGGTGCAACTCATCCAGAGTGTTGGCAGCCATATTGAGAAGTGCTGCTGATGACCACCACCGGAGGGCTCCTGTCCAATATCCGCCGTCCGAGGTTGTCCACCACCTCTTCTTCGTCAACCCCCTTGCAGAACCCTTTAGGAACCCAAAAAAGGAACCCTATTCTAATCATTATGGCCCCTTCTTCAAGGTCATGCTGAAGTCCGGATGAGTAGAAGCAGCGGCCCTGACCATTTTAGTCACTGCCCGGAACTACAAGGAATCGAAGCCCTAATTCCTAAAACTTCTTGAGACTTTTAAAGCTCCGGGAAGCCTGTACACTGGGACCTCAACAATATTCTACTGGGGTTTGGCGCCTTTGCAACATTCGGAAATGCCGAAGAAGCCCTAGGGACGGCTTTACTAAGTATTCAGGCCCTACATTACGCTTGAGCGCCCAATCTCAGTTCGCGGCATCTGCGACGCAGAAGCCTCAGAGGGACTCCGGCTGGGCTGTAGATTTGTGTAGGGTTTAGGTGTTGGGGTCTACAGGGATTCAGAGTCGAGGTATTTCGACACAAGGGTTTCGGCTTAAACCCAATAATCTCCCCCCCAAAAAACCCTGGAACCCTAAAGCTCAACCCCAAAGCTAAAGGGCTTTTAGGGGCTGGTTGCCCAAGCTCCACACCCAGAGCCTGCGGCAGACCCTCAACCCGAACCCGGCCGGACAGCCTAAACGGAGCTTGCGGTCCATTCATCCTTAACCCTCCCTGAACCCTAAACCCACATGAAGTTATTGTGCTTAATCTCACAGGTGCAGTTGGATTCTAGCTGGCAGTCGGGGTTTTGGGTCGCGGGCCGGAGAATTAAACCACCAAGCCCGAACCAAAAACAAACAAAATTCAAGCTCAACTACACAAGGCAAACCCTAAACCCTAACGTCAACCTTGAACCAGACAACCCTCAGCTCGGGTGGCCATCATGCAAGCAAGCAAGCAAGCAAGCAAAGGGACCATTAAGATTCCTGGCTGCAAGCATACTGTAGACTCCTGATTACTACACCCCCTCCCCTTCCTTGGGATCATAATAGGCACCTAAGACCAGAGAGCTTGAAGAAGGGGGATTATGAATCAGGATTTTACATTAAGGCTGAGGCACCCGGTTTGACTTCGACGGAAGTAGAAGATGTTCAAGCAGTTCATGTACATATATATATATATATATGCTACGCATGGGGGAGTACCCCATATATATATATAATTCACAAGCTTGCTTGAGCCATTATGAGGGGTCTAGACGGCTTCATTACGAGGCCTGCGAGGGCTCTGTACTAGTCGTTTGTTCCGGGCAATTTGCAAAATACCCAGGTGGGGAAGGCTTGTCGTTCTGACAGTGCAGACAAGTGTCGGGGACGGAGGCGTTCTCAAGAACTGTTTGTGCTATTCCAATAGACTATATGGCCTAGTTGCTGAGTTGATAAGCCCCAAAAAGTGTATACTTTCAGTTCTATAAGAGATCACATTATTTCAGAAAGTGTAAAGTGTGCTCACTCAGCTACGAAAATGGTGTACTATTGTACACTAATAGCAGTCCAGGGCTGCAAGGTTTTCAGGATTTGACGGCATACTTCTGGCTTCAGGGGCCTTGGCGCTGGGATCCTATTGCAACGACGCTGTAAATCCAACCAACTACTATGCTGATCAAGGGTTCTATCCGCCAGCCAGTTGGTCATACCCTACATACTTTATGCTCTGTAGGTGTGTGTATGTATATATAAAAATATGTAGAAAAATAATATATACTGACGTCTACGTTGGCATGGTACACATTTGTGGCTTTGGAGTTATCCGTATGCTTCTTGAAGATAAAGGGACTAGGAGGGAATACTACCACCAACTAGCCAGACCCCTCTTCCTTCGCAGAACACTTCTTAAACCCTGTTCAAGCCTTATACGAACCTACAACCCCGAACCAGGCCCCATGTGAAAGCGGGGCGGTTCGAGCAAGACGGCTTTAGGTTTAGCGTGTTGTTGCGGCCGCTTCGGGTTTAGGGTGCCGTGCACCCTGGGCGCGAAATTCGACCAAACCCATATCAAAACAGGTCCCATCTTGCCAATAGGTCCTCTAAGCCAAGAAAAAATGTACTGTACCCCTAACTGAATGCTCAGAAACCCTCGAATCCCGCCCCGAACACCAAAGCCTCAATGGCGGTTCTACTGAGCGCCAAGCAAAGGGCGGTGGAGCACTCATCGTGGGCACCTGCCAAAAGAAACTGCTACAAAGCAGTAGAGATGTGTCGCTGTTGATGATGCTGTTGCAGCGAGAGGTAGAGGCGCTGGTGGTGTTCTTGCTCTCTTGGTCCTCCTAGTGGTCGCTATCACTGCGCAAACCGCTTCTTTTTGACACTGCTGGCTGTCCTGGTCTCCGGCCGACCCATCAGTCGACATGCATCTTACTACAACCCAGCGATGCTTGCAATGACTCTGTGACCGGATGAACAATAGTGGCTACTGGTAGGCCGCTCTACCGTAAACAACATCTTGACAAAGCTCGGCGCGAAGCTGCAAACCTTGCCAAAGCACGATGCCTCTATAAAACCAACGAATGCTGTCATCCACGCCTGTGGCAGCCCTACTGAAAAAGCCAAACAAACCAGAAAGATAGTTAGTTCCCGAACACCTCGGACACCTCGAACCTGAATTTTCTCGCTACATAATTCGACTCTTTGACACCTCTGTTCAAGAACATCCAGAAATTCGGATGTTGCCTCCTCTGTCCCCGTGTGAGTGGCCGTGCGTGTTCGCGTCATGGTGCGAACCTGGGGAGTTTCAAGAATTTCGGGGAGCCCGGCGTGCAGCCGGAGTGTTCTAGTTGTTTTCGCAATTTTTTCAGTTTGGGATGTATGGGTTTAGGAGTTCAGGGCTTAAGCTCGCAAAATCCCTGGGCAAGGCACACTCCTCTAAGCTCCCTTGTCAAACACGGCCAACCCGATGTTTGAACCGAGCGAATAGCAGGCTAGTATAGGGGCCTTAATATATAATTAGAATACGGTTTTGGGACCCACTCTACTAACATTCTAATAACGAACCACCAACATAGTATTGGTAATTGCTTGGGCCCCCTGTTTTTTAGGGCTTGCCGGCTCAAGGGTTCCATGTGAGACGGGATCTGTCCCGACCTGTGATGCTTTGGGGGGGCCAAACCCTATCCGATCTTATATGGGTGGCTGTCAATATTAGGGTCCCTTTTTGGGTACCTGAATATTAGGTGCCGTATTATGACAGGGACCCAAAAACCTTCTTCTCCAACTCGAACTTCGCCGCATCCCTTTCCTTCTCCGCGTTGAAGACGGCCTGTAAGGACTCTTTCACCTGTTCCACTTTGAGTTGGGTAAAGTTCATGCGAGCTCCTTGTGGCGCAGTTGCTTCATGACGTTGTCTGAACTGCGTCATGAACTCCACCACGTCTGGGTCCTTTTCCCGCCTTTCTCCTTGCTGTTGCTTCGGCACAGCAGGAGGCGGACCTGGTGGCTGCTTCGGCAGCTGGAGGCGGGCCCGGCGGCTCTGGCACTGAGTGCCACCTCGAGTCTCGAGGTGGCGGGCCTGGAGGCGGGCCCGGCGGTGGCCTCTGTAGTTCTGGAGGTGGTCCTGCAGGTGGCGGGGGGACCCTAATTTTGACAACCACCCTTATGAATGCAAAAAGAGAATGGAGAAGAAACCAAGAACACCTGAGGTGCTTCCTAAAATCCGACCCTGGCAGCCTGCTCTAAGCCCTCAACCCCTAAACCCTAAAGCACCAAATCCTAAACCCCTAAACCCTAGAGCCCCCTGAACCCTGAAGCCCTACAAACCCTAAAATCCTCTAATTCCTAAGTCCACAAGTTTCCCCAAACCCCCCTAAACTCCTTAAACCCTACACCCTGAGGGCACTAAATCAAAAGTCCACAAGTTTCCCTAAACCCCGAACCCCTAAATCCCTAAAACCCTACACCCTGAACGCACTAAATCCTAAGTCGACAAGTTCCCGAAAACCCCAGGAGCTCATATGCTTGTTGACTCACCGGTGCTGGGAAATTGAATGACACACCAAGCTCGCGCGACGATTCGTCCTTCCAAATGGGAACCTCCTCCTCATTGATGTACACCGACATCTACCCCTTGTATTCACACCCCATCCGGATCTGTGCTGGTAGTCCACTTACTACTCTCACAAACCAAGAGCTTCAGAAGCCTCGTCTTCTCCGAGGTTCCTCCGCCCACGCCCTGTAACACTGAGCCCAAAAAGTGCGAAGGATCCGAAAATCCGAAAGCGAGTCGACAAGGATGACCGACAACGCTTCGCTCCTTGGCAAAATGAGACGGGGGTTATGACGAGTGCCCGTGGCGGACGACTTGTTTGTTTTCCCTCACCATGCATCAAAGAGCAGTGGCACCAGCTGCCTACAGGTTGGTCGGAGCGTCTATCTGATCACGAGCGACACAAAACCTTCGCCAACCGTTGGCATGCAGGAACAGCTCGCCTTGTCCCCGACTTCTTTCACTGACGAAGGTCCGTGCGAGACCTGCCGCGAGGCGGGTCCGAAGCTGCCCGGCCTGCTTTTGGTAAGCGGTGGATCCTGGGAGGTGGGCAACCTCCTGCTGCAGTTCGAGACCCCAGGGCAGCGTTCGCCTCCTTCAGCCGGGTTTCCCACTCCTCCACCCGGTGCTGCGTCTGCAAGACGCTCTGTGTCAAGAGGCTTTGGTGCTCGCAGGATTCCCTCCACACCTTCATCAACAAATTGAGCTTGTGCTCGTGCTGGTCGGCCCAAAACGGCATGGTTCCTTCGCGGAAGAGTTTTAGGGTTTAGGGGCTTGGGGTTTTAGGGTTTAGGGGCTTGGGGTTTTAGAGTTTAGGGGCTTAGGGTTTTGGGGGTTTAAAAGTTTAGGGTTTCGGCTTTAGGGAAACTGCCGCCGTTGCCAAGGCCATCGCCGGGCCCGGGGACGTGGGCGACGGCTTCTCCGTCGGCACCAGCCTTGAACGTGGCGTGCTGTTTCGTGCTCCCTTAGAAGGTGCTATAGGGTTCGAGAAGAGGGTCCCGTTTAGAGGGTACACTAAATTATGGGGATCTGTAGTAGGGTCCCTTTGAAGGGCTCCTTTCATAATTGAAGGGTTGCCCTACGGTTGCTTTCAGGGTCGCGACCAGCATTACTGCAAGAGCCACAGTAGGATTCTATAGGGTTTGGTGTTTTCATGGATTTCGATCGACGGTTGAAGCCAGCTTGGGGGCGCCTTGGCCCTCGTCCTGTAAGTTTTGAAGCTTTCGCCCACTAAGCTTGGTTTTCGAGCTTCCTTAAATCCTCTTCTAAAGTTCAAACTTCTTCATCACGAAATCCAAGGAGATTTGTCTGAGGAAGGTCTGGTTGTGTGCTTGGGGCATCAAGGGGCGCAGAACTAGCGTCGTGGGTACCTTGCTCAGGGTTCAAGGCAATCAAAACGATGGCAACCTCTTGATAACTCTACTTAGTAGGTCCCTTAGCTGCGGCTGAGGACTTGGGTGCCAAGATTTCCTCTGTAATGGCATCTTAAGAAAGAGAAAGCTGCGACACGAAGGTTCAGGTTCAGGCTTCAAAGCTTTCCGGGTCTACAGGCATTTAGGTTCAAGGTTTGGGGTCAGGTCCCCTGCTGGTGGCGACACGGCTGAGAGATAAAGTCAAGGAGTACCGAGTATAGTGTACAAAGCCGTTCAAACCAAGTATTCAGAAAAGCCCTGGCCCTAACAAAACGCTACACTCCTCCACGAAGCCGAAGCCCGTAAACTTGGACATCCAAAGCCATACTGCTCCTTCTTGAAAGCTGCAATTCTTGTTCCATCTTTATGAGAAGGCTATACTGAAACGACACACAATCTTGAAGAATGGCCTGGGCGCAGTTTGGTTTGGAAGGACTATGAAGGCTATCCTCCCTGATTCTTCAGACCTTTATCTTCGGGACTTAGGTATCAACAAAAAACGACCACAACAATTTAAACAGAACACTCCAAGACCCCAAACCGCCTATGCGAGCTTTAACGCCCATGAACAGCCCAGCCCTAAACCCCAAACCCCAAACCCCAAACCCTAAACCCTAAACCCCAAACCCAACAAAACCCGAAACCCTAAACCCTAAAGACCCGGAGCTCCCACAATGTAGGGGTCGGACATTTCACTCGGCGACGCCGGCCGACCACCCTAAGTTGGGGGCTCGTTTCCGGGATGCCCTTGTATAGAAGCCGTGTGGAAACCTACTGGAACCCTTACAGAACCTATAAAAAACCCTTGTCCTCATGGAAACGCAGTAACACCCGGACAGAGCCCTCGTATTTCGCAAAAGGGCTCCGGGCTTCGGCATCTCGGCACTTAGTCTCGGGACTGAGATTTCGGGTTCATGAGTAGATAGGGAGAGATGGTATAAGTTTAATTATAAGGTTTGGAAAATGCCATCGAACATGTAGAGGTCTCGGTATGGTAACAACTGAGCTGCGACTACAGCTTGAAGTAGACGACTTTAGCTACGCCGCCCTTCCAATAATTAGGGATCGCTGGACAGAAATCAAGACACCATAAACACGCGGATCCTTTTTGACGGCGAACCCCTCTCAAGGTACGAGAGTGCTAAGACTCCAACCCTGGTGGACCCCTGCGAAGACTGTCGTCTTCCAACCGGGAGCCCGCGAACGAAGAGCAATTCCGTGATCCAAGACGGAAGACCCGACAAACTCTAATAACCATGAAACCTAAAACGCTGTCAGCCCTAAGCCCTTGATGGCTCACCCCTGGGATGCAGGCCCTCTGCCGCCGTCTTGGGACCGTTGCGGGCACGGCCTGGTCAGAAGGCTCATCGCAGCGACGAAAAAATCAAGCTGTGTTTGCCGGTACACCTCCCAAGGAGACCGGAACTGGTACGTTTGGGGTGAAGAGACCTAACCATCTGGAGGGTTCTTTGCTCTGTTTGTAATATGAGGCCCCCTTATCAGTCCTTCAGCTCCGAGACCAACAACCCGAAACCCAAGACTCTGAGACTCTGAACCCTGGACCCTAAGCCCTCCCAGCTTAAGAGAAGAAGCTTGAAGTTGCAACACAAACCTCGACAGCCTAAGCCTTGTGTATGTGGTTCTTCGTGTGTTTCGAAACTGGGGGTTCTTTTTGATGAGGATCCTTATGATGGATCCTCTATATGTGTTTTTGAGCCGGGTCTATGACGTACATGATAACACAGTTCCGATTCTTTTGGAACAGAACAGTTTTAAGTATTGATAAGCCTTAGAGACGATGGTGTCCAGCGTTCACGGCAGTGAAAGCGAACAGCCGCGCGAAATTCTGACATGAGCTGCACAAGAACACTCCAACACGACGCCATATTCAAGCGCTGCAACAACCCGCAACCGGAAAGCCGAAACCCTTACATCCGAAGAAACCTGACATCCAATAACAAATGCCTGAACCCCAAAGGCAGGGCTGTATTGTATAGAGGCCTGACTACTTGTGGACGTGATTCCTTAGGGTTCCTTTATCCAACTAAACCTAGTACACCCGACAACTTATTCCAACAAATCTGTACCAACCTATACCCCAAATAAGCTATCCTAAATATTAACACAAAGAATCAACACGACCCCAAACTACCTCGATGTCCGAAATCTCCTCTGCCGGAGCTCTCCTCCCACGTTATTGTGCGGTCGAGGGTTTCGGGGTTCAGGGTTCACAGCGTAGGATTTCGGTTTTAAAATTTGTTTTAAGGTTTAGGATTACAGGCATTACTCGGGTTTCAATGTGTTCGGGCCGGGGCGTTTTTTGTGGATGAGGGCGTTCGTGTCAGGGTTTCGGGGCGTAGGTCGAATGTTACTGATGAAGTGTCTAAGTCAAAGCTGGTCATTGCAGGGATGTGTGCGGGTTTAAACTGTTCAGAAGGACGCGCAGTCTGCAATGAGGTTTTTCTTTAGGTAGCAACAAAATGACTGCGTAGGCGGGAGATATAAAATGAAGATTCCTGTTTTAAACTTCATCAGAACTGGATCTTTCAAACGGGGTCCTTGTTGTTGCGGAGTTGTGGACCGAGGGTGTCTTTAGGGGTCCTCCCTGTACTACAGCTCTTGGTTCAGCGACAATCCGGCTATGCCGGCTACGCTTCTTACTCGGACGTCGGGCCAAGAGCCGTTTACAAGCAAGTTCTTGCAGGCAGCTCTCAAAAAAGATGCAAGAGCATAAGAGAAGTGGCGTACCGGTTTGGCAACACAAAGGGGGCGGAAGGTCTAGCAAGACGGAATGCAAGCGACGGGATCTTAGCATGGATCCTGTTCTACTTGGGAATTTCCACCGGGGGCTTCTTGATCAAGCTCCTGCGCTGGACTACAAATATCATGGGTGATAACACAAAGAGTGCAATAGGGGCTTTAACAATCCGAATATACTAGAATAGGATGTTGGGGAGTGAGCGTGTGCGTGTAGATATATGTAGGTATTTATATATGTATACATATATGTAGAAATACGTAGAAATATAAAGATACTGTATGTAGGGGCCATAAGGAATACTACTGCTAACTATTCAGGCCAGTATTCTATTTTTCTATGCTCCACTGGTTTGGCCTACTGCAAACCTCTCATACGTAAACCCGCCTCCTTACTACAATGGCTGTCATCACAACATCGCCTACCCAGGAGGACTGTGTAATCTAGCAGCTAGCATAAATTGAGCTGGAGGGTTATCTAGAAATACATAGGACCCCCTACATAAACCCTCGAAAGGCCCTGTATAAGCCCAATATAGCACCCTAAAGCCCAAGCTGGCATCAGAAAGTCCTCCTCTCCGACCTCTCGGTGGCACTCTTGTCCTCGGTGGCTGGCTCTTACAGTGTTAGCCAATAAAGGAGCTTCAGAATCAGCTTTGGGGTATGTTATGGAGAACTAGTTTTCGTAGGGCTTCCAAAGCAGCCCGATCGCCGACGGGAGCATAGTGGACACCAAACTCCATGATGTCCCCTTATTCTGACGATTTAACGCCCTCATAATATGTTTGTTATTGCAACCATGTAGTGTTCTGTAAGAGCCAGACAAAAAACCTCTAACAACCCTTTCACAGACCCTGTAAACCTGCATGATAAGAGTGTAAGGTACATATTTCTGGGCCTCAGGG